AAAAAAAAAAAAAGAAAAGATTGGCATGCCTATAATTTGGATATTTTATCCATCAGCTGGCTAATTGAAAAATTCTATGGCCAGTCCTCCCGGTACTGGGTTTTTCATGGAAATTTGCCCAATTTGGAATCAATTAGAGGTGCTTTCTTCACTTTCATTGAACTTAATATGGACAATAACTTTGGTATGAAAATGAATTATATTAAGAAATTATATTATGTAAAAACAAGAGCGCTAGTGACCTAGTAGGTTATGCATGGGGTGGGGGGTTAACCACAAGGTTAGCAGCTTGAAACCACCTGCTGCTCTGCGGGAGAAAGACCCGGCTTTCTACTCCTGTAACGAATTACAGTCTCAGAAATCTGCAGTCAGAATTGACTAGATGGAAGTGAGTGTATTTGTTTTTGTTTTTATTCTAAAACACTCTCTTTATGAAAATACTTCTCCTTGATCAAGAAAAGATGTGTGTATGTGTATATGTTTTCACCTGTGCTTGTAATCAAGAACAACAGCGAATTGAGAGAGGGAACACCACAAATGTGTTTCAAAAGTTCTTTGTGTTCTACCTGGTGGCACATCAATTGTAAATGTGACCACACTCTACCACAGTCACTTGTCCCCTAAAGGCGTGAGGGCCTTGAGAGCATGGGCCACACCTCCTCTCCCATTGACCACTGAAGTACTACATGCGCAAGTAGAACACAACCTGGATCACCCTGGGGTGAAAACCGTCTCTAAGAACAGAAAACTACATACAAGAATTGCAAGTACTGGTTGAAAAATACACTTTGGCTGACATTAATTCATATTGTTTTTATATTACAGATATGTAATGGGAACAAATCCAGGCAACCTACTAGCTGTTGGTTCAAGTACAGGCATACTTACTTTGACCAATAGAGTGACCTGGGAAATATACCAAATGCTTGGAGGAAAATACCAAGGAACAATTCTGTCTATAGATGGTAAGATGGCGATTTAACTTTTCTCTTCCCCAGAGAAAGATATGTATTCATTCAGATATTAAGTAGTATTGTTAAGTAGTACTTTTCCAAAAGAGAGGTTGTCATAATTGGTACTATAATATCAGATCTTAAATGTTATGATTATGTAACTTAGTGGCTTATCAAGGATTCTTCTAGAAGACTGGATTGGTATCTTTTAGCATCATTTACTAGGAATGGGATGCTAAAGAAGCTATTTAGCACATCTATGTCTCACCCTTCTATTCTGTAAAATGGAACAATAGTAACATTGCAGATTTAGAAAGATTAACAGACTTAAGGACTGTAAACCATTTAGACCAGTGCAGCTAGACTCAGAACAAAAAAAGCATATAAATGTGAATGAGGGGAGTGCAGAATGGAGACCCAAAGCCTATCTGTAGGCAATTGACCATCCCCTCACAGAAGGGTCACAAGGAAGAGACGAGCCAGTCAGAGTACAGTATAGCACGATGAAACATACAACCTTCCTCTAGATCTTTAATGCTTCCTTCCCCCACTGTCCTGACCCCAATTCTATCTTACAAATCTGGCTAGACATGGATACAGATAAGAACTGGAAACACAGGGAATCCAGGACAGAAAAACCCCTCTAGACCAATAATGAGATTAGAGATACCAGGAGGGTAAGGGGAAGGTGGGGGGAGAAAGGGGAAAACAATCACAATGATCTTTATATAACACCCCCGCCCCACCCCGGGAGACAGACAACAGAAAAGTGGGTAAAGGGAGACATCAGTTAGTGTAAGACATGAAAAAAAAAAGATTTATAAATTATCAAGGGATAATGAAGTGGGGAGGAGGGGGGAGTGAGGGGGGAAAATGAGGAGCTGATACCAAGGCACAAGTAGAAAGCAAATGTTTTGAGAATGATGATGGCAACAAATGTACAAATGTGCTTGACACAGTGGATGGGTGGATGGATTGTGATAAGAGCTGTACGAGTCCCCAATAAAATGATTATAAAGAAGAAGAGTGCTACCATTTGATACATCAACGTTAATATTAACATCAGTAATTGACATTCTAAAATTATGCTATGAATTTATATTTGGTTAATGTACATTTTATAATAATTGAATCAGAAACCAAATTAACTTACTTTTACATAAATTTTAGAAACTTGAAGTATTACTTTTAGTAAAAAAAAAAAAAGGATAGAAAACATCATGTTTCAATTATTTTTCAAAAGCAACGAAATTAAACTAAACCCTTTGGTTCCCTAAGGAGATGCTCCGGTAGAACAGTGGTGAAGCACTCACCTGCTACCTGAAAGTTCCGTTGTTCCAACCCACCAGAAGCTAGTCTCCACGGACAGCATGTGGCAGTCCGCTTCTGGAAAGATTGTCTTTAGGTACCATTGGGTCAGTTCTGACTCAAAGAGACCGATTGCTCAATAGCAGGAATGATTGCCTACTCCTGAGCAATCCCCAGACTTGTGGTTATGTTTGAACCCATTTTGGCAGCCACTGTAGCAATCTAGCCCTGTGAGGATCTCTTTTCTTTTTTTTAGTGGGGGGAAGGGGGGACTTCTCCTTTACCAAGTATAATGCCCTTGTCCACTGGTCTCTCCTGATAAATATCCAAAGGACATGGGACAGTTTCTCCTCATCCTCACTTTTTTCTTAATTTAATATTTTATTGGGAGCTGTACAACCCATAGATCAGATTGTTGCCATCATCATTTACAATCCATTTTCTTTTTTCTTGAACTCCTTGATATCAGCTCCCCTTTATCCCCTCCCTTCCCCACCCTACCACCCCCTTGAGCCCTTAATAAATTTTTTTGGCCATAACTTACCCAATCCAATGAATCCATTCACCTAAAATGCTGATGTCCGTTCCCCTCAAGTGAGGTTATACATCATCGTTGCTGTCACTCCTCCCCCTCACCTTGTACCCTCAGGGAATCATTACTCCCATTACCAGCATTCTGGCTAGACTTCTTCTGACAGTCCAGACTACTTTCAATATTGTTCACCAACACTGTAATACAGATGCATCAATTTTTCTGCCATCTTCTTTATTCGCTGTCCATCTTTCATAGGTTGGAAATACCATGGCTCGGGTTAGGCACACCTTAGTCCACTGCCACCTCGGACACCCTATAGGGCACTTCTCCTGTGACCTATAGGGTTGTTATTAATTGGAATCAACTTGACAGGATTTGGGGTTTATTAACTAAAGCAGAAAATTTTCCCAAAGAAAATAGTAATAATTACTATGATTAATTACTTACTAATTTACTTACATACTAATTAATTACTAGCATACTAATTAATATGTTTAGCTACATTATATCCTCTTCTTTCTTCTTCTCTCTCTTTCTTCCTTCTTCAGTTAATCTCTTTCTATGTGCACCATCCATACATATATCAATTGTGTATAGCACATTTGTACATTCATTGCCCTCATTAATCTCAAAACATTTGCTCTCCACTTAAGCCCCTGGCACCAGCTCCTTATTTTTAACCCCTCCCTCCCCAGTCCCCCCTCCCTAATGAGCCCTTGATAATTTATAAATTATTATTTTGTCATATCTTGCCCGGCCCGACATCTCCCTTCACCCACTTTTCTGTTGTCCGTCCCCCAGGGAGGAGGTCACATGTAGATCCTTGTCATCAGTTTCCCCCTTTCCAACCCACCCTCCGTCTACCCTCCCAGTATCACCACTCACACCACTGGTCCTAAAGGGATGATCCACCCTGGATTCCCTGTGCTTCCAGTTCCTATCTGTACCAGTGTACATCCTCTGGTCTAGCCAGACTTTCAAGGTAGAATTGGGATCATGATAGTGGGGGGTGGGGGTTTAGGAAGCATTTAGGAACTAGAGGAAAGTTGTATCTTTCATCGTTGCTACATCGCACCCTGATAGGCTCATCTCCTCCCTGAAACCCTTCTGTAAGGGGATGTCCAGTGGCCTACAAATGGGCTTTGGGTCTCCACTCTGCACCCCCCTACCCCCCCATTCACTATGGTAAGATTTTTTGTTCTGATGATGCCTGGTACGTGATCCATTCGACACCTTGTGATCGCACCGGCTGGTGTGCTTCTTCCATGTGGGCTTTGTTGCTTCTGAACTAGATGGCCGCTTGTTTACCTTCAAGCCTTTAAGACCCCAGATGCTATACTTTGATAGCCGGGCACCATCAGCTTTCTTTGACACACTTTCTTATGCACCCATTTGTCTTCAGCGATCGTATCATGGAGGTGAGCACACAATGATATGATTTTTTGTTCTTTGATGCCTGATAATGATCCCTTCAGCACCTTGTGATCACACATGCTGGTGGGCTTCTTCTATGTGGGCTTTGTTGCTTTTGAGCTAGATGGCCACTTGTTTACCTTCAACCCTTTAAGACCCCCAGATGCTAAATCTTTTGATAGCTGGGCACCATCAGCTTTCTTCACATTTGCTTATTCACCTGCTCTGTCTTCAGTGGTTGTGTGGGGAAGGTGAGCATCATAGAATGCCAATTTAATAGAAGAAAGTATTCTTGCATTGAGGGAGTATTGCGTGGAGGCCCGATGTCTTTCTGCTACCTTAATACTAAACCTATAAATATTTGCACATAGATCTATTTCCCCATCCTCATACAATATATTTGCCTATGTACATGTCTTTATCTAGACCTCTATAAATGCCCTTTGCCCCCCAGCTCTTTCCTCTATTTCCTTTGATTTTCCTCCTGTCCCACTACCATGCTCAGTCCCCACCAGGGTTTCAGCAATTCCTCTTGGTTACATTACCTTGATTATGCCCTACCAGTCCTCCCAGACCCTCCTCACCACTGATTTGAATCACTTGTTTTTCGCTTGTCCCTGGGTTTGTTAACACCACTACCTTTCCCCCCACCTCTCCCTCTCCCATGTCCCCCCAGAACTGTCCGTCCCATTGTTTTCTCCTCCAGATTGTTCATCCAGCCTATCTTATTTAGACAGACCTGCAGAGATAATAACAAGCACAAAAACAAGACAGAGCAAACCCAATCAACAATATACAACAAACCAATAACAAACAAAACACAATAAGAAAGAAAAGCTTGTAGTTAGTTCAAGGATTGTTTGTTGCCCTTTAGGAGCGTTTTCCAGTCCAGTCTGTTGGGGCACCATGCCCTGGCCCCAAAGTCCACCTTCAGCATTCCCTAGCGACCTCACCACTCCATTTCCTTGCTGTTCTGTTGCACCCCCCTAGTGTTTTGCCTCGGTGTGGCAGGACCAGATCGGGTGCAATTCCCACACTGTGTCTCCGGTGTTGTCCCCTGTAGGACTATGGGTCAGTGAGGGGCGTCATGTCTCATAATGGGGCTGGCCATGTGGTCCTCTCTGTGGACTGGCTGCTCTAATTGGGAACATCATCCTCATGGCCTGGTGGGCCAGGATGTGCTGCACTCTCTCCTCCTCCCCCTTTATCTGCACCCATGTGCTCCGATCATATATATCCCTCTCCTGGAGCTGCAGATTCAATGCCGTCCTTTGAAATAAATTCTTCTGGGGAGAGAGGCAGGTGTCCACTTAGTAGTAGGGATTGGGGCCGGGCCCCCCTGACCTCTCCACTGGTTCCCAACTCCACGCCGGCATGTTGCATTCACATCTTGGAGCACTGGGTTGAAGTTTATTCCCAAAGTAAGAGCTATTCTCTCTCTGTCTTTCTCTTTCTCTGTCTCTCTGTCTCTCTCTCTCTCTCTCTCTCTCTCTCTCTCTCCCACACACACACACACAGACAGGCAGGTGGGTGCAGACAAATTCCCTCTTATATAGGGTTGGTTTTGAGTTTATAGGATGCTGTTTCATCACTAATAGATCTGTATAGAAATAATTAGCCATCCTGCTAAAAACTTGTTGACTTTGTTAGCCTCATCAAAGGAAGGAGATAAAGAGAAATTAAGGTGGGTGAGAGTAAGGCTACAATAAAAGAAAGCATAAAACATTAAACAAAATCTCGATTGAATGTACAGAAAAGTGAGCAAGTTATCTACGGTCTGAAAATGACCCCACCGTATCTTGTAACATATTACTGGTGGTACACGGTGTGACCTTTACTGTTTGTGCTTCTCAGCACATGAGATGGTATTTCAGGAACTCCAATATTCATAGTCTTTTGATATAAAAATAATCTGATTCGCCAGCAGGGGACAATTTAGAAAAGTTACTGAATTGATGGGAGTACCTACATTGCAATAAGTACTGATGCAAAAGAAAAACAGCTTTGCGCTGTCTAGAAAATGTATGAAACATGTCTTCCGTTTACCTTGTTACAGATGCTATGCAAAGAACATGCACTGGTACAATTGTTATTGATATTGACGGTTCTACTCTCTCGCGAGAAGATACTAGCACCAATACCAATACTGGCACAAGTACGGAGACAGGTACTGGCACAGGTACTGGCACAGGTACTGGTACTGGTACTGGCACTGGCACTGGAACTGACACTGGTACCAGTACTGTCACAGAAGGGGAATATACTCCATCTGATTATACCGACATATATGACCCTGGCTCTGTAAGCAAGAACCCAACAGATGTAGACGGTGGCATCCTTCGAAACCCTTCCGATAATGTACACTTCGGCCCCGCTGGCATTGGATTGCTCATCATGGGATTCTTGGTCTTAGGATGTAAGTACTTTAAGAGCCTTCTTTCTTATACATGTTTTAATTGGTGGGAGAGGAGATACGTTTCTGGATCCTTTGATAAAGTATATTCTGTGAAGTCTTTCATACAATTATCAACAAATGTATGTGCTTGGCACTGGGTTTATGAAAAAGATCAAACTTCTTGACGCCACTGGAAGATAAGTTCCTTTTTCTGCCAGTCTCAACATAAGGGGAAAATGCTCTATCAGAGGCTGACTTGACTTGCTGTTTGAGAGAAGGGACAATAGAAAACAATTAAAATCATCAGAAAAGCCTATACACTGAAAGTAAATTATGAGTTGGATATTGAACAGTTGAATATGGGTTCAAGTGATGGACAAAAGAGGGGGAACACAGGGAGGAAACATAACCCACTAAATCACAGAAAAGCAGACGGGAACAGGCTCCACTCTGTAAGGCATAGGGTGCGCGTGGCAGCGTGGTGAGAGACAAAACTGGAACCAGAAGGAGGGCCTGGATCTTCAAGGAGTTCCTTGCTATGTGAAGACTGTCTAGCATAACGAAAGAAGAGTCAGATGAACCTGGACTTGAACTTCAGTTTCTACACTTCATTGTAACCTTTCTGAGCCTCAGTTTTGTCATCTATGAAACAATAATAGCTCATCACATTGCTGTGATAGATGTAAAAGCAATACCTCAGTTAGCACATGCTAGGTTCTCGAGTAGGAAACCCGATTGGCACTGAGCGTGGGCTAAGCTGTGGGCCTGCTAAGAGCAGCATTGGTAACTAGAACCCACCCGCCATGATGGATGCAGGAGAACAATGACCCTGCTTGCTCTCACGAAGATACAGTCTCCAAAACCCTTTAGAGGGTAGCCATGCATCAGAATCAACTCGATGGCGGTGGTATTTCTTAGAGTAGACCTAGGGAGGGCACAAAGAGTGGGGTTTGGGTGGAACTTCAAACCAACCCAGTAGTGCTGCAAGAGAAAGACCTGAAAATCTGCTTCCATACAGATTACAACCCTCCGGAGCCTTTCTAAGCGTGGGAGGCACTGCGGGTTCCTATAAACTGGAACTGACGGTGTCAACAAGTTTGGTTTTTGTGTTTTTGGGATTTGGGGTTTGTTTTTGTTTGGGGGGTGGGGGATTTTTTTGTTTCTAGAGGACATAGTCCAGGATGTAACTGTGGGTATAAAGATTAACCCAATCCCAAGTAGTCCTTCCTGTTGTCTTAGATGATGGGGCTGGGGGGAGGAGCGTGAGACAAATGTCACTCTGAGGAAGGAGAAGGGGAGACCTGAAAATAAGTACACAACGCTAACATCTCCACATTGTAATCAAATCATTGTTCAAGAAAATACAATTCACTCACTCACGGAGATTCGAATTTCAAGCTTAAAATCTTGATATCCGAAGATTCTTCAGAAAGAATTTCTTTGGCACCCACACGCAAAGATATGTAAAGCACATTACATATGAAATGTTTGTTTCCAACTTCATTAATTTAATACATGAACAGCTGTACCATTTATGCATTGACTAAGTTTACTAGTACACTGGTTTTCTCAGAGTTTAGAGGATATTCTTATCATTTTGGTCTCTTTGATGAAAACTGAACACCTGCGAACCACCCAGAGTCTGGACGTATGGATCACACGGTGGAAGTGGAGGCTCCTTTTCCATAGTTTGAAATATATATGGATTAAGTAATATAAATGGGTTCTTATTGGCTTATAATAACTTGAAGGATAACCACAAAAGATCTGTGACAGAGAGAACAAGGTTGGAGAAAGAAGAAATTTTTAACAAAATTAACCTGGGCAGGAAAAAAATTCTTCAAATCCTATAAATTCTTTAGAATGCTACATAAAATATGTGGGAAAAGACAAAATTATCTAATGTCTCATTTTTCAGTCCTGTAAATTATTAGGCAACATTTAAAACTTTAAAACGTAGTGCTCTGTAAAGTAATTTAATTAGTCTGGTTCTGATTATCTCTTATGAATAAAAAACAACAACTTTGGATTTTTTAAAAATATTGGTGACTGTCTACCTTTGTATGGTATAATTAATAAAAGACTGTAAATATTTGCATGATGTTTTGTAGGAAAGATAAACATCTGGAGTTTATATATATATACATGCACACAGAGATATGTGTTTGTCTAAAATATGTATACAATATCTTTATATTTTATATAAATATATATACACACATATATCACATACTTTCACATACACACCCAAACACACAGGCTTCAAATAGTTCATGGAGAATGGAATTAAAAGATCATGAAATTTTCCACAAATTTTTTCAAAGCCCCCTCATGCGTATCAAAAGACATTGCTGAAGGAACAAGCAGTCTACCTTGCCTTCGGGGTCTCATTAGAATAGGAAACAAGACATATGGGAAAGCTTTGCAAATCAAATAACCAACATATGAAATAGGAAATGTTAAGTACAGAAGGTTAGCCAAAGCTGGTGTCTTCTCTTTAAGAAGAAAAACACACTCGTATATACTTAATGTACATAGAAAAATAAACAAACTAGAGGGTTGACATTTACACAAAGCAATAACATTAATCTGTGTGATGGTCCCTATTTGGATAAAGAAATAATATCTACGTGGAGCAAAATAATAACCTCCTAGAGAAGAATGTCTTGCACTTCAAGGAAGATTGTACCATGGAAATGAAAAGGGACTCTGAAGAAGGAGTGTCAATCAAAGCCGAGAAGTGGATACACGCAGATCCCAACGAGTAACCTGCCCTGCCAGCCTTCTTTTGCGCTCCTTCGATCACGTCCTGGTGAATGACAGGGAAAAATACTTATCTGTTTAAGGACTAGAGTACTATTTAGAATTCGAACACTCGATATTAAGTGTGCTAGACAGCAATTTTTGACTCGTAGACAGTAGAATTGCCTCATTAGGTTTTTTTGGTTGTAATCAGTATGGGCATAAATTGCCAGTTGTGAAAAGCCACGGGGTGATTCAGAATCACGAACCTTTGGGCAGGGAGCTGAGAGTTTAACTATTAGGCCACCAGCGCTCCAGTGTGAACATAGACTAAAATGAATTACAGAGTACTGTGCTGAAACGCGCACTTATTTTGATGCCTGACCATCATTATATTTGCTTTCTGAACTTTCATACTTTTATAATCAAATAGAGTTATATCAGGGATATAAATTCAACCAAAATGCTTTTAAAAATAGGTCGCTGAGTTGATAGGGGCCACTGCTAACTTTGGGGTTCCATCTCTTCCACCGGCAGTGGTTCCATTTTTGCTCATCTGCTGTGATTGTGGAGGCGCCCCTGGTGTTGGAGGTGGTTTTGAGCCTGTTCCCGAATGTTCAGACGGAGCGATTCAGTCATGGGCAGTTGAGGGACCACAGCCTGAACTCAGGGTAAGCGCTCAACTGTAAACACTGTCCTTTGATAGTCACCTAACCTCAGTCGTACACACATGAAACAAGCGTGCACGCTGTCTTCAAACTAGATGGAAACAACCAGAAGAGGCTTCAAGGCTCAGGTTTTCAGCAGATTTCAGTTTCCTAAGTAATGTTCTTGTAGGAAATGTACAGTAATTTGAGAATAAACCAAATGCATGACTCTAGAAATGAAAGAGTGGCTACAAATGGGAAACTTTTTCTGTTTTTTAGGACTTGGCCACCATTTGCGTGCCCCAGATGCTGCCTGAGAACGCCAACATCATTGAATGCATTGACAATACAGGTAAGAAAAAAAATGCGTTTTCCTTTTAACGGCTCAAACGGCATTTTAACAGCCCCCACAAGGATCTGTGTTCTCTCTCTTTGTGTAACTTACCTTCCAATCATGGGTTAGTGCTTTTAAAAATAACTGATGGCCAGATTAAATAATAAGAGAAAGCCTATCTTCCTTATTATTTTTTATGACCTGATAGAAGAATAGTATAAACAGGAGAAAAGTAATGAAGTCAGTTTGGGTCAAGGTTTTGTCTAATAGAGAAAATGTCATCAAACACATGCACATACAAACACTGCTAATTCAAAGAATCCCACAGCTATTGACTCAATTCTGACTCCCAGTAACCCTATGGGACCGAGCCCTGAAGTTTCCCAAAGTGTCCTTCTTGACAGGGACAGACGGACTCATCTTTCTGCCATGGAATAGTTGGTGGGTTTGAACTATCAACTTGGCAATTATCACTGCAATGCTTAGCCCATTGCGCCTCCAGGACTATTTAATTCTAATTCAAGATCACCTCCACTAAAATAGGCCCAAGCTCATTGACTAAAGCTTGAACCTTCCTCCTCAGTTCACCTAAAAATGAAAACCCACTCTAACTGAAGCTGTCCAATGTGACAAAGAATATGACTACATTCATTCTCTGTATCAACATAGAAGATGATCTAAAAATGATTTCTCTGATTTATTACATTAAAGCTAGCAGATGAAACACTATCAAACTGTCAGCATTCTCAGTGGAGGCTTTCTCACACATCCATAAAACCCCAAACCGATTCACTGCCATTGAGTTGATGCCAACTCATAGCAACTCCTCAGGACAGTGTAGAACCACCCCTAGGAGTCTCTGAGGCTGTAACTCTTCATGGGAGTAGAAAGCTCTCTCTCCCTCGAAGTGGTTAGTGGTTTTGAACTGCTGTCCTTGAGGATTGCAGTCCAAGACAAAACCACAATTCACATGCATAAGATGGCACTAATAAAATTTGCCTTAAAGATGGCACAACCGATCCATTGCTATAACCCAAAGAACAATTAGAATGTCATATACGGATAGCTATGACTCGAATTTTTAAAAAGCATGTAAAATAACTTCCCTTTGAAAATAATATCATCTTACTTCTTTCAAGGTAGATAAAGATTTCATTTTTCTCATGTTCTTCTTCAAACTGGAAACCATCATTTTCCACTTTAGAATATAGCACACCCAGTGGTAGAGCTGGGGTTCATCTCGAGGATTGCGCAGGCTCCTCTTGAAACATGCAATGCCTCCTGTCAGGGGTGTTCTTGTTAATGGCACCAGCAGAACTCATCATTGGCACCAATCACTTGTCAGACTATCACCTGCAGCAGCATTTATTTACGTATTTTTCCTTCGTTCAGTTCACACATTTTTGCTGAATATTTGCATCACACAAAGCGCCAGGAAAGGCACCACCAGAAAATAAAGCCAAATCAGTTACCATTGAGTTGATTTCAAACACGTTTCAGACTAGAACTGCCCTCCTTACGGTTTTCAGTGCTGTGATCATTGGGCCTTTCTACTGAGAAGCCTCTGGGTGGATTTAAATAACCAGCCTTTCAGTTAGTAGCCAAGTACTTAAAGGTTTGCACCAAGCAGGTGCTCCAGGAATTTTCATACAAGTATGGAAAACACACCCAAATCAAGGTCTCTAAAATATTAAAGTGATTGTCAACACTCTTCATGTGCACATCACTTCCACTGACCAGGTCATTATTTCATCCTGTCTACTCTGAATAGTGTAACCATCTTCTACAACTTCCTCTCCTTTTTTCAGATGAAAATCCAAGCTCTCCAGGAAAACTTTCCTCAGCCCACAGACATGTCTCCCTCTTCTCTAAATGTCAGCGGTGCTCATTCTTTCTTCGGGTTGTACAGAGTTCCAAATAATGCATTGAGCTAAACTGTGTGTTTTTTAAGAAAAAAGATTTAAAAATCTAAAATTTTGGAATTTCCACCTATCTCAATTTCCATTAAGTCAAATCCAAAATCTCTGAGGAAAATGATTTTATCACTTTTGTGCAGTTTTCCACTCCCTGAACAGCATCTTTACGAGCTTTATCAAATCTTCGCCAGATTCACAAACTGATAAATAATAACATTGAACTTGATACTCCGTTCATATTCCCTCTCTTATAGGCCATCTTCATTTGACTTTTATTTATAAATGTGTACTTAACTGAAGAACCTATGCATTAAAATAAGTTACTAATTTTGTTTGCAATATACAAGAGAAACTCACTTTAATTTGATCAACACTCTTAGGAGTTTATACAAATGAGTATTGTGGCCGAGAAATGCAAGATCTGGGAGGAGGAGAAAGAACAACAGGATTTGAAGTCACGAGTGGAGTTAAAACATCTGGAATGCCCGAGATTTGTCAAGACTATTCTGGAACATTAAGAAGAAATTCTATGAGGGAATGTAGAGAAGGGGGTCTGAATATGAATTTCATGGAGAGTTACTTCTGTCAGGTAAGGCCTCTGGCCACATCTCCTCCTCTCTATCTTTACGCCCCATTACCAACTCCCTTTGCCCTAAATGTGTCTCTGCCCTGAGTGCACGGCCCTCTCTTCCTCTCCATATCTTTGCTTATGTGGTGCCCCTCCGGGAACACTTTGACCCCATCACTTCTCTCTCCAAGTCCTGCTCATCTTTCAAGACTAAGTTCAAAGTCATTGGCCCTGTAATATTTACTGTTATCTCTTGTACCCCAAAGAGGGTTCGTTTTCCCTTATCTGTGTTTTGCCCATAAGTTGCTCATTATATAAGCTATATCACATGATGTATTATCTATGCCTATGATGCTAGTACCTAGCTAAGTTCCAGGCACACACCCATTGTGGTCCAGCTGAATTCTGACTCATAATGATCCTCTCAGACCGAGTAGAGCTGCCTCCGTAGGGTTTGCAAAAGTATAAATATTTTCAGAAACATAGTCACACATTTCTCCAGACAAGCCGCTAGGGGATTTGAACTATCAATCTTGTGGCTAACATCCACATGCTTCACTATAGTATTTCTAGGCACATAAACCAAACCAAATCCACTACCAGCAAGTCACTTCCTTCTCATGGCAACCCTCTATGGGGCCTCCAAGACTGTCACCCTTGACAGGAGCAGATAGCTGCAGCTTTCTCCCCTCTCCCTTCTTCAATTCGCAGCCCAAGCCCCGACACAACTGCCTGTTGTTACACACCACGAGGTACTCAAGGTTCCCGGAAACTCCTCTCTCTGATGTGAACTGAAAGTACATTTCTGATCTTCTACATTCTGACCGCAAACATCTACATTTATTTCCCTAATGGTCTAGACTCTAGACTCGTTAGAATCACTGATGTGTGAAAAGCCTTTCAAATACCTATGAGTAAATAAGAGACCTGTTACGGAAATCTACATGCATACTTTCTATCCGTGTGTGGTTCCCCTATATATGGACAGTATTTTTATGAAAAGTACAGTCTTTCTTCAACTCTTGCAGTTCCCTCTTCTGTCACTTCATTACACAAAAATAAAAATAAAGACATAACAAACCCACTGCTACCAAGTCAATCCTACCCTTAGTGGCCCTCTGCAGAGTTTCTGAGGCCATAGATCTCTGTGGGAACTGATAGTCCCACATTTCTCTCATGGAGTTGCTAGTGGGTCTCAACCACCAACTGCATGGTTAGAAACTGAACCCTGACCCAACAGCATCACCACATCTCTGATGAAATGCAAATTTGTCGGACATTTTTTCCCTTGACCATGAATTACCTTCTAGTGGCTGCTGTAACAAACTGTCACATAGCAGCAACTCTGAGAGTTCTGGAGACCAGAAGTTGAATCACTAAACTGAATTCAACTAGGGTTCCTCCAGCGGATCCAGGGGAGAGCTTGTTCCTTGCCTCGTGCTGCTACTGATGGCTGCTGGTACTGTTCAGCTTGGTGTTCCATCGCTCCACCCTTTGTCCCTTCTTCAATCACCATCTTCTGTATGTGTCTTGTTTTCTGTCTTTACTAAACCTCCTTCTGCCGCTCTAAGGACGCTTGTGATTGCCTTAAGACCCTACCTGGATTACAGCCTTGGAAACAGTATTAGACAGTTCAACAATGTCATATAGGGTCGTCAGGGATTGGAATCAAGTTGGCAGCATGCAGTAACTACTGGGAAGAGTCACGGTTCATTATTCAGCAATGCAGTGCTCATGATCGCCTGCATGACAAAATTTTGGAATATAATGACTGTGAATAATAAAAATTAACTCTATGTGCTTATTATATATAGCAAGTCTTATCGAGGGGAGACTTTATCTGGTTTTGTTCATGCTTTGACAAGTTCCCTGCACAGGGCTTGGCAAGCAGGAAGAACGGGAGATGCGTTTTTAAATTAAGCTGACACCAGAACGGTGATAGCAATTATTGCTCACACATGTGCAAGAAAGATAAACCAGAGTGCTTTCACTTCACGGAAGGAGATTCGATGCTTAAAATTTGTCTTTGATCATCTTCTATTTTTTTAATCCAAAAGGCACAGACCGAGAATCGCACTTTTGTGAAAAATTTACAATGAGATATATCTGCATAAAACTATCACATTCATCTCAGGAAAGGAAATAGCACTAAGTGATCCCAAATACCGTGTGAGCTACTTTTTGTACAATGAAACAATATAGAAGTTTATGTACTTGGAATGAAAGAAAAACTCATGTGATTTCTTCATACTCCTTGTGTGCAAAGCATACTACCAAGTAGCTTTTAATTCAAAATATATCATCAAATTTGTAGTTAAAGTTATTTCCAACAAATTCTTTCTAGTACTTATATAGCAATTTCCCACCATGTCTAGTAAATCATATAATTTTGTTTTAAATATTCTCCTTTTAAAATTCTCTGGAAGAAAAATGAATACTAATACTGTTCTATTAGATATTCATCATTTCTTTTCTAAATATGTCATCACAATTTATGCTAAGTATAGTTTTATCATTTACTTTCTCTTTTCTCCACAACTTTAGAAAGCATATGCTTATGCGGATGAAGATGAAGGCCGCCCGTCCAACGACTGCTTGCTCATCTATGACATTGAAGGTGCAGGTTCCCCTGCTGGTTCTGTGGGTTGTTGTAGCTTCATTGGGGAAGACTTGGATGACAACTTCTTGGACACACTGGGGCCTAAGTTTAAGAAGTTGGCAGATATCAGTTTGGGAAAAGAAGTCGAACCCTGTCCAGATTTTGATCCCTCGTGGCCTCCTGAGAGGATGGAACCAGTTTGCCCTCCACAGGGAACAGAGCTCATTCCTAGTGGGCATCCACCGATCTCACCACATTTCGGCACGACCACAGTGATTTCTGAGAGCACCTATCCTTCAGGACCTGGGGTACATCATCCTATGCCTATTCCTGATCCTCTGAGCTATGGTAATGTCACTGTGAAGGAGTCTTACACCACCTCTGGCACTCTGAAGCCCTCTGTCCACATTCATGATAACCGACAGGCATCCAATGTGGTGGTGACAGAGAGGGTGGTGGGCCCAATCTCTGGGGCTGATTTCCATGGGATGTTAGATATGCCTGATCTGAGAGATGGGTCAAATGTGATTGTGACAGAAAGGGTAATAGCACCAAGTTCAGGTCTACCAACCACTTTGACCATACCTGATCCTAGAGAGGCTTCAAATGTGGTCGTGACGGAGAGAGTGATCAGACCAACCTCTGGAGTGATGGGTACTCTCGGGATGCACCCGGAGTTATCGAATGCCCACAATGTGATTGTGACCGAGAGGGTAGTTTCTGGAGCTGGCATAGCTGGAATTAGTGGCACAGCTGGCATCAGTGGAGGGGGTGGTTTAGGCAGTAGTGGCCTGGTTGGTCCCAGCCTCACTGCTGGAGGTGGGGGCCTGAGTGGAGCTGGAATGAGTGGTGGTGGCATTGGGCTGAGCAACCTAGGTGGAGGCGGGGGCTTGAGTGGCAGCATGGGGGGGACAGCCACCATTGGCCACGTGAGAAGCTCTTCTGATCATCATTTTAGCCAGACCCTTGACTCCACCTCGCCTAGCACAGCTCGAAGTAGGATCACAAAGTACAGCACAGTGCAATATACCAAGTAGCCAGGACCCCAGCCCACTGTCGGGCAGTGAGGGTCATTTGGATTCAATTTCCACCATACAAAAGTTAACAAGGTTATTTATGATGCCCAACAGGCTCTAAGATAATAGTGGAACCACAAGAGAAACCAGACTCCGAAAAACAAGCGGAAACATCCTTGGAGAAGGAGAGGTTTCCTTAAATTAATACTAAAGGGATGAACATGAACTAAAACTTGAGGCAGGTCATCTTTGTGCCTATGCGGCGGCCTGTAGCAGCCTTTCTGCATTTGTGTGGCCTGCAGTACATGCCCGGCACGTGGCATGAATAAAGCACAATCATTTAAAAGGACCCACTTTAAGATTGGCATGATTGTCCTCACGATGTCTTGATTTGCCATGTTCAAAAAGAACTAAACCTGCAGAATGTGCTCATATATGAAGGAAGAATTTTATATGAGCGTTAGGTGACCCATCTGGTTGACAAACCACGTTAATAAAAAGACAACTCCCTAAAGCAGGCCAAAGCTAAGCAATTTGTAACTTGATAATAATATTAAAGGATGACTACATAGCCAAGTGTATCGTCTACCAAACACTCCTTCCTTAATAACTGCATGGCTGTTGTGTGGTGCCATTGAGTTGAACAATCACCCCAAGGCTTCCTCAACGGTCATCTTCATGGGAGCAGGTGCCAGGTCTTTTCTCCCCCATTACCTCGGGTGGATTTGAACTTGTGAACCTCTTGCCTAACAACTGAGTGTTTCACTGCTGTACCTCTGGAACTCCTTATCAGTGCAGTCGAGAGATGAAACTTCACAGGAGGAAAGGCTACCTTGGAGACACAGCTGACCAGAGAGTTGCAATGGGTGAGATCACTTGGGGTCACCTGGCAATGTCTGACACTGAATCTTAAGATGAAGCTTCAGCTACATCTTATGGGACCAAGAACTTTGCTGATTCCAGTTAGAGTTTCATGGTAGCTGTCCTACTGAGGAATGCTGCATCCTGCCATCGTTGCAGAATGCCATGTTGTGCTTGTCTGTTTGCTCCTTTACCATGGTGGCTTTGCTGAATAAAGGAAAACCTGCCCATGGTCTTCTCCATGGGCATGGTTGTTGCCACTCGTGGTAAGTTGCCTTCCTAATAAGCTCAGAAGTGGGTGGGAACTGCACCGTATTTTCAGATTGTGGTTTTCGCAAGTGTTATTCATTTGTACCCAGATGTATATTACATAGCTGCAAAGTTCATCATGAAACCAGCTTGCAGCGTGAATAAGCTTTGAGATTTTTTTTTAAGGAGTATCTAGAAACTTGTTTTTAGAACATGTAGAAAATGTTTACTGGGAAAAGTTAGAGAAGAACAGTTTGGTAAAGTAATACCATTTTAATTGTCAGTTTGAATTGAGTTTCAGGGCTTTTGTTTTGTTTTGTTTTCTCCACGGCCCTCTGCTGTCATTCTGGAGCGATCAACCAAGACCTTTGAACAGAATCGATGATATTGTGTGGACAAGAGTGAAATAGCATTAGGCGAACCTATTTTCTTCGTCTATCCCACCCCGTGAATGCCTTCTTTTCACTAGCATACATTTTATGTTCCTAATTGATTTGTCACTCCGCACTTAGTTTATATTATTGCAACCAATAGATAATTTCCAAATTTTGGTATATTTTTCTGTCTTCAAAGCTCCAGAATGTCCTATCTATGGCATATCACTTCTGTGGGCTTGTTATAGAGTGTTACCCGATTAAAATCTCTAAAATGAATGGGACATTCTAGAGACAGGTAGATTTACTCCTCCAGAGTAGAAGAATGTTCTGTCTTTAAAAATTCAATGTGAATAAAGGTAGTTTCACTAAAGTAGAACAAAATATAACAATAACCCCAAACCAAAGAGCTTCTGCTCCAGATTTGTGAATAAAATACAACTTGTAAGAATGCCCTTCCAATTTCTCAAATTGCCCAGGAATTATTTTTCCTGGCACTATTTGGTCTCCATAAGAGCATATGAGATCAGTTTTTCAAAAGTCACAATATCCATCTTATTTTAACTCTGTAAGATATATGTAAAATGTTGATAGTCTGTAGAATGAAAAAGATGCCGAGGTGAAAATAAAGTCATTCAAAGGGATTTTTTTCCCCTTCGCTTTCTTTTTTTAACTATATTTCTCCCACTTAGGAACTTCATTAATAATGGGTAGGGTTTCCAGAAATAAAGTCCAAGGGTAGCTATTGAAATTTTTTTTAATGTGCCTGTGTCCAGTAGTTTGAAAGAATAAAAGTAATTGTTAGCTAGTTAATGGAGGGAATGGTGTCTGACCAGAAAGAATCTAGTTGTCACTTTGGCTTAGCATATTATCAGAAATCTTAAGATAAATTATACCATGCAGAGATATTTTAGGTTATCTGACAATTTCCAAAGAGATCATCTTTAATAAGTACTGTTATTATGGTCTCTTGATAACACAAAATCATGGCAGAACAAGAAAAAAATACAGACATAGGCATTAATCTTTCTAGAAAGATACGCTCCAATTGCATTGTTATTTTCAGAATTACACGTTGATGTTCTAGCAATGTAATCTTAAATTTTAAAATTTTCTTATTAAGACATCAACCATTCTAATAGGCATGTTATAGTTTTCAATAAACAGCCTCTGATCAGAATTTCATTTTTCTCCTTTGATAATTTAATCTAACTAATGTGTGCTATTCCACAGCCTAAAAATGACATCGAAATTATTTTATAAGTAAATAGCTACAATTCAAACCTGTATTTCAAGCTGAATCTCAGATCACCTTAGTTTTATAAAAAAGATATAAGATGGTAGTTTTAGCTTATGTATTAAACAAAGAGTTTAATGTTTCTAACATCTGCTTTTGTAAAGAGGGGGTACCTGGGAGCAAACGCTTCCACACGTTTTGCCTCATGCAACTGTATTTGCACTAGAAAAAAAATACATTAAAAATGATCTACTTAGGATTATTTATGTGACTCTTTTGGACCCTGCTCAGCATTTATGTTTAATGTTTTTAGCAACATTTCCTTTAGTGAAATTTATTGAAAGAAATAATTATAAGTATTCAAGACATACATTTTTCTCTATTCTAAGGTTATTCTTTAAAGTTATCTATATAATTCACTTCTAAGATTACACCAAAATGTGATTTCCAGCCAGGGTGCAGGAAATTTGACACTAGTAAACTAGTAGAAATTTGATTTTAGTAGGGGTTCATAAGTCTGTTATAAACATGACTGAAATGACATGGCTATTTGGGAAGGTCCTTTGAAACACAAGCAAACTTAAAAATGATGTTGACACATTTCCCCATATTTATTTAATAAATTTCAAACTTATTTGTGATTTCTGGTATTTTTAAGTCTTGCTTTGCATTGGTCTTGACCACACTAGTCGATGGGAGATCCTGACCCCCACCCCATGAAATAGAACCAGACTTGCTTTTCTAGACTATTCAGTTTATTTTAGGACTAAAGCTTGAATAGATTGGCCTACTGTTATTCATCAAATAACTCTGAGACAATGAAGAGTCTATTCTTGAATTGTCAATACTCTCCTCGTTTGGGTATATTAGAATTATTGTACATTTTATCTTCCAACTGTATCTGCTCTAGCCTATTTTTCTTTGGTCTGTTTTACAAGCAATTATAAACTTCAAGATTCATTTCTTGGTGATGTTTAAGCAAAGTACTTTCCTTCAAGTTTCGATCTTAGTTTAGATTATTTGGGGTATTCTTCATTGCTACGACACTGGGCTACTTTAAGTCGGTTTGTAATTGCCAAAGAGTTATGTTTACAGCAATAAAATGATTAATGTGCCTCCATTATCTTTTCTTTTTAACCTTTTATTTTGTGTTTTAGGTAAACATGTATCCAGAAAATGTGTGTCTATTCAGCAACATATATGTACTTTGTTTTGTGACAAAGTTGTTCTCCCCACAATATGTCAGCACTCTGCCCATTTCCACCCACCTTTTCCATCTCCACACCTACTGGTTCCCTGCTCCTCTGTGTCTTTTTATTTTTGCTTTTGAGCAAATGGTACCTTTTTGATCTTGGAGAGTTTATTGTTCTAAGAAGCACTTTCCTCCTGGGAGTTACTGTTTATTGAATAAATCTATTACTTGACAGAAAGATACCTCTGGAAGTAGAATTGCTTCCAGGTTAAAAGGGCCTCTTACATTAGGCCTCTATTCAAGTCCTCCATCAATGCAAGAACATTTTGTTCTATTAAATTGGCATTCTATGATGTTCACGTTCCTGACATGATCCCTGAAGACAAAGCAGGTGGGTAAGCAAATGTGGTGAAGAAAGCTGATGGTGCCAGACTATCATAATATAGAGCATCTGGGGTCTTAAAGGCTTGAAGTTAAACAAGCAGCCATCTAGCTGAGAAGCAACAAAGCCCACATGGAAGAAGTACACCAGCCTGTGTGATTATAAGGTGTTGATGGGATCAGGTATCAGGTATCAAAGAACAAAAAATCATATCATTGTGAATGAGGGGGCGTGCAGAGTGGAGACCGTGGGGAGGAGACCAGTCAGTCAGGACGCAGTATAGCACCAATGAAACTTACAACTTTCCTCCAGTTCTTTAAGGCTTCCTCTCCCCACCCCAGCCCCACTATCATGATCCCAATTCTACCTTACAAATCTGGCTAGACCAGAGGATGTACTCTGGTACAGATCAGAGTTGGAAACACGGGGAATCCAGGACAGATAAACCCTTCAGGACCAATAATGAGAGTAGAGATACCAGGAGGGTAAGGGGGAGGTGGGGAAGAAAGGGGAAACCAATCACAAAAATCTACATATAACCCCATCCCTGGGGGCTAGACAACAGAAAAGTGGGTGAAGGTAGACATCAGACAGTGCAAGACATGGAAAAATAATAATAATTTATAACTTATCAAGGGCTTGGGAGGGAGGAAAGGTTGGGGAGGGAGGGGGAAAAATGAGGAGCTGATTCCAAAGGCTCAAGTAGAAAGAAAATGTTTTGAAAAT